ATCAAACAGTGGGGCGGGCCCCCCAGTGGGGGCATGTTGAGGTGCCAGGAGGGGCGGGGGAGTTTGTTGCGATTGGCTTCCAATGGAATATGGCTCGCTGATAGGTGTATCGCTGCTGTAATGCTTAAACGTATGTTATAGTTCTGATTGTCTTTTTTTTTTTTTAAACCTATTTGTGGGTAAATGGTTTTCATCCATTTACACGTTATTTCTATTTCTGAATGCAGTCGCTGCAGTTTAAACCTGTGCGTGGACGAGGCCATGGCTCTGAACTGTCAGAGTGGTCAGATAACCACCGCCATCATCACCATGCCCACACCTCCACTCACCACACCTGAGGCCGACGCCCCACTGCCTGCAGGTCACGCACACCAACAGAACGTGGTCAAGGTGTCGGCACTGTAGAGACAAACACAAAATGGGGGAAGAAGAATTTTTGAAAGAAAAATTAAACTGAGGCAAAGGATGCGCTTGTGGCGATGCCCCCTGCTGTTCACAGACTGTAACCACACGGAATCCTGTGAGAAGGATGACAACGTTTTGGTCTTCAGACGTAGTTCGTTAGTGTTTGTGTACACAGGGCCGGCCCAATCAGAATTTAGCTTTGGGTCACCAACCATCACCACCTCAGCTGCAGATGTACGATCATTTCATGGTGCATGTACGTTACCGTTTGCGTTATCTGTAGATGGCTTATATCAAACCAGAGTCATTCTGGGCTTTGTTTTTAACTTTACAACGTTGAAACATTTACAACAAAAAAAAGTGTATGTATACGTACGGTAAAGTAATTATTTATAAAGTATCTGCAATCTCTCACTATAAAATAAGCTAAATAACATACACATTGTCTTCTTACAATAATAGAAATTGTAAAAAAAAAAAAATTATATACAGCAAACAAACATAAAATACTTAAATAATGGCACAGGATGAGCAGAGAAATCAGTGAGATTTTACAAATCGATTTTTTTTTTTTTTTTGAAAATATGAACCGTGACCTAAAACAACCCCGGCGACATCCAGACATTTACTCTTCTAGTAAAAGACACTGCCTCCACTTCACCTAAACTACCTCAAAATAAAACCAAATATCAAATGCATTGTCTTCTTACAAAAACAATACTTCAATTGTACAATTTAATTGCATCGCCGGAGCACACCGATGCTCCTGTGCCGAGAAACAAATCAAATAAACAAGTCATCGTGTTAAACGTGTCCTGCCCTATTCAAAATAAATGCAACCATCTTTCAGCTGCCAATACGGTGTAACCTCATTTTAAAACGTACCCAAAATACTTCAACAGCAGTCCCGTTAAGTAATGTTACACCAGTACATTTACATGACAGCAAAAGTACTTTGCTCACCTATCCGACCAAAAGTCAGATTATTATAAATCAAAAATACTTTGTCACTGGTGCAATGTTGTATTCCTGTCATAATTACAAATACAATTACCCTCAATATTTCTAACGTTAACACCAGTCTGTCCGAAGCCTAGATTGGTTGATGTAATCATTTACTGTGGTTTGTACTGAAGCCTTGCTCTCGTTTTTCAAATTTTTTTTTATCCTGTAAACCGTAACACAATTTTACTTTTGGCATGTCAGAGTGTACAGAACAGTTACGATAATTTAACAACCAAAAAACTCTTACCCTGCGACTAACTAGCACAGTGAGGCATACTTAAAAAGTATAGCAGTACTAATCAAACAGTGGGGCGGGCCCCCCAGTGGGGGCATGTTGAGGTGCCCGGAGGGGCGGGGGAGTTTGTTGCGATTGGCTTCAAATGGAATATGGCTCGCTGATAGGTGTATCGCTGCTGTAATGCTTAAACGATAAACAAGCCTCCAGCCACTAGGTGGCAGCAACTCATACTGTGGTTTGTACAGATAAGAAAATACAAATTTTCAGGTTCTACTTTCTGCCCCTGGGTGGTGACAGAAAATAATCGAGACCCTGATGTATAGAAAGGATATCATTCAGCATAACTTTAATATAGCTTCTTTTTTTTTTTTCTTCTCGTTTTTTCTTTTCTCCAGAGCAGGGGTCGAGAACCTATGTCTCGTGAGCCAGATGTGGCTCTTTTGATGACTCCATCTGGCTCTCAGTTCAATTTTAGCTGCATCAGCATTTCTTAACATAGTAAGTAATAATATATTTTAACTGATATTCAAATAAAACATTACGGGAATAGTCTTTAAAATCTTTTAAAAAAAAAAAACATTTCCATGTATTTGCGGCGGCAGCGTACTCTCTTTGCGTTGTGTTAAATAATTCTGGTAAAAGCATCAGCTCGTGTATTTCTGGCATTAAAAGTGAAAACAATACATTTAGATTTTTCTTACGTGGTGTGGAATAAACTGTTCTGTATGGCAAGTGGAACCATATATTTATACACATTTTAATCCGCACATTATTTTTTCGCATCAAAACCAAAGCAGCAGCAGAAGTCGCAATAATGGTACGAAGTATTAGCATTAGTATTTTATGCATTATATAGTTTGTTTTTAAATAACTGATAACTGAAACGTATTATACTCTACTTAAAATCATTGGTCTTTGGTTTAAGAATTCACACGTTTAGTTGTACTTAGACCAGCGGTTCTTAACCTTGTTGGAGGTACTGAACCCCACCAGTTTCATATGCGGTTAAGAACCACTGACTTAGAGCAAAAAAAAATATTGTAAGGCTCTCACAGGAATACATTTTAAATATGTAACCTTTTTGGGCTTTCTCTGCTAAAAAGGTTCCCGATCCCTGCTCAAGAGGAATGAATAGCCATCTTTTCCTTCGTTATTTAATTTGTTATTTAATTTGTTTGTTATTTAAGTGCATCTGCCATTCTCTAACAGTGGTGGCAGAACCGATTACTCTAGTACTGGGGTGCCAACCATGAGATAGTAAGAAAATTGTCATGTGTATTATCATTTCAACTATGTTCATCCATCCATCTTGCTCCGCTTATCCGGGGCCGGGAAGGCGGGGGTTATAGTCGGAGCAGGGACGCCCAGACTTCCCTCTCCCCAGACACTTCCTCCAACTATTCTGGGGGGATCCCGAGGCGTTCCCAGTCATTTTTTTTTTCATTATGTCTTGACATTTTGAGAACTCTTGGGGGCCCCCTGGTGGTGGTGGGACCCTAAGCGGCCGCTTAGTTCACATGTCTTGGGCCGGCTATCTGTGCACACACTGTGTGCGAGTTTGCCATGTAACTGAGTATGTGTCTCTGTGCACAAAGCACCTTTAATTTTTAAAACGACTTTAGCTTGAAGTGTTACCCTTTTTTCAGGCTCCTCTGTTTCGTTTGGGGAAACAGGAAGGAAGATCATAGTTTGTTTGACAATTTCTTTTCCGTTTTAGTTCTTGTTCGTGTCCTAACGTGAAAGGAAGTTCCACGGTTCCTCTGTTGGTCCAGTTTTGTGGTAGTGTGAAAATTGAAAGATCAGTCTTTCTGTGACAGTGATAAACTCAAATTTCATACCTGCCAGCAAGCAAATGTTTGTTTTTGTTTTGTTTGTTTTTTTTGGTAGATCCAGGACTAAATGGTGAAGTGTATTTACAAATGTGTGGGTCGTCTCTTCTGGAAGTTCTTTTGTGGTTCCAGTGTGCAATTTTATTTAGGAACATTTTTCAAAATAAGTCCAGAAACCCTCAGCTTTAAGCCTTTGTGCCTGGTTCTCACAGAAAGATCTAAAAAGGTTTGAATTTATTTGATTGAAATTTTTTGTAATTTTTCCTCAGTTTATCTCCCAGTTATTGGAACAGTCAACCTTAACAGGACAACAAACAGATTCTTTCATTCTCAACAATAAACCTGACAAAAGAAAACAAATAATAATCAACACAGTTAAAAGCACAAGCTATCTTTCCGCTGAGAGTTTCTGACACACAAATGGTTCCTGAATCCAAATCGTTGTGAATATTGTTAATAGAATATTTTGTAATATTTGACCATTGTTTGGCAGAACCAGTGGAGCTGTTCTATGTTATCTCTTTAACTGTGTTCCCACCACGCAGTACCAGGAACATATTTAGTAGTAGGAAATATTTTCAAGTTTTTGCTTAGACTTGTTCTGCGTGTTTCCACTGCAGTTAAACTCTTGAAAAAAAAAAATCGGTTACTTAGTGGGACAGCTGTTTCACGAACCTTCCAGGATATCTGGCCTGTGATAAAAGTCTTCTATAGAATCATTGTTCCTGTACCGGAACACTGATGTGGAACAGGGACCGCCTTTAAGAATCTCAAGACTTTCATAAAGATGGTGTTCTTGCAGTGGTACCACATATAGTTCCTGTTACTCGATTCTGTGCTGGAAACACAGCATTTCTTTCTCTCTCTCTCTCTCTCTGTTTCCCAATGTCAAAGGAAAGAGATGAAGTAATGGTACGCCGATAAACCTGGACTGTCTGGTTTATTGCCCAGGGTTCTTGGAAGATCTACAATTGACTGACTGTTTTTGTTTGTTTGTGTTTTTCAAACAGTTTCAGAAAAAATTATTTTGCAGGAGCAGACTTGGAAGGATTTGGGAAGCAAAACAAGGATCCTTGGTTCTACTTTAAATTCAAATGAACTAAGTTCCTAGGATTGAGTTTTCATTGTATGTGGAAAAGCTGTGGCATCAACCTCATCCTCAGGCTCATTCTCCGGATGACGTGGACCTGTGTCAGGTCAATCATCAGATCATCACTTTTCTTTTTTTTTATCAGGTCCCATGAAATTATATTTTTATATTTATTTTATATAACAACTTTTTTGTGTGTTTGATTTTTTTTTCCTGATACCAGACTGGGTTACAAACTAGACCAAGGTCCAGATTTTCAGTAGTATCTGTTTACGTTCTCATTAAAGACAAAGGTTTAGCTCAGGCGTGGGCAAACTTGTTGACTCGCGGGCCACAATTGTCCTAAAATTGAACAGGGGGGCGCGGTCAGGAGCACATAGATGGAACGTTCACGTGAAGATAAATGACACGGAAATGTTATGCATAAAGGCTAAAATGCTTCAAGCATTTTAGCACCATCTATCGGGGAAATGTGAGTATTGCAGGGGAAAGTAATTTGGAAAAAGTTTGGAAAAGTTTGGCGGATCATATTAAAAAGCTGAACGGGCCGCATCTGGACCCCGAGCCGTAGTTTGCCTATGCCTGGTTTAGCTGGTAGCACTTTACCAGCTCTATTGACTTTCAATTGTATTTCAATCCAAGATGAGAAGTATCAGCAAAAATGCCAAGAACTGTTTGATCCCTGGAGTCTTTCCACAAAAAAAACTGTTACTGAGAGTCTCCAAGGATTTCTACAGAAGTACTGTAGTGGTGAAACTTTCTCTTGACGTGATGCAAAGACAGATTTGTCCGTTCAAATAATACCAGGATAATGACTTACCCCCCGGTCTGTGTTGGACTGTTGAATCCTTGACCTTGGGAAACAGCAGCTGCTGTACTCAGAACTGTTTTTTTGTTGTTTTTCTTCTATGGTGGTCGTCCTGTTAAATCATTTCCTCCTGTTTGAACAACAGTTATACTTTTAGTGCAGTGTTTTACGTGTCAGTGTTGTTCCTTCTACTCTCAGTATATACGTGTACGTATGTTTGTGTTCCGTATGTGGTTATGGAAAACTTGTGTTTGTACTTTATTTGTTTTGTTTTTGTTTTCTTAAAAAAGGGGAGAAGATTCAATTTACTTCCGGAAAACTTCAGAAGAAAAGATTTAAAACGAAGAGGAGGAAAATGAGGAGAAAGAAGACAGAGAAATCTGATGTCACCAAAAACATGAGCTTTCACGAGTATCTTCTCTCATACCGACCCACGAGAACCTCGTCAAATGGCATCAAAGCTGACTTTTGTGGCTGCGGACACTGACCTTTTATCTGCGCCAACCTAACATCTGATGTTTCATCCGTTTCATCTTAAATGTCATTTCCAGGGTCCAGCAGGTCCAGGGATGGTGGGTTCTCACTTTGTTTTCTGTGGATGAAACATGTGCTGGAAAGAGCAGCTCGGGTGGACGTTAAAACCTTCAGAAATGCTGTGTTTATATTTGATGACAGAATAAAACGTAACCTGAAGTTTCCCTCTACCTTAGTGGGTGAGGCCCAGGCTAGGAGCTAGATATAGACAGTTTTACATCAGAAAAATTCCACAACCACCACCAAACAAAAATGACACAAAAGTATATGTAACGTAATGCGATCTAGTGGAATAGAATTGGATTGTCCTGCCTGTCACTGTCACTAAATATAATGAAATAATAGAACAGTGGAGTACTCTGTCATAGAGTTTTCCAATCAATAATTAATCATTTGCAATGTATTGATCCGACACTGGGGAAAATCTTGTGTTAACAGCAGATTTGTTGCAACATGCTGCCCCCTGGAGGTGCCAAGTATGTGGTTCTTCTGGGACTTGAACCCAGGGCACTCTGCTTGCGAGGCTGGCCTGCTAACCGCTACACTATGGAACCATGCTGCATAGTCTGCTCAGAGCAGGTAAATATCACCACTTGTCTCCAAACTGTCTGCACAGACTTGTTTCACTGTTGTCATGTCAGGTTTATCTGAGCTGACATTACGGGTACATTTGACTACAGTGTTGTAGCTGGATCATAGAATAGAAAAGAATGGGCCTGACACTGTGTTGCACGCATGAATCATATCGTTTAAAAACAGATTGTAATCAAACTGAAAAAACATGATGTTTATCTATTACAGATACAAATAATAATGTGACTGGTGGCTTGTTATCATTCAAGTCTAACTTGTTTTAGGAACTTTTGTGACCTGCTTTCAAAACGCAAACAACACGCATACAAATTTGAAAAACGTATTAGCTCAATTCCGACTAAATCAAACAAAGACCAGTTTGATTTTTTTTATTATAAAAGTATTTAAAGTAAATACTTTTTTTTTTTTTTTTACATTTCACATGGGTGCATCACAGTACAGAACTAACTCATGATCCTGGTGATTATAATGTAGTGTAATGTATACGTGAGAAACGTGGTTGGAAAAATCTAAAATGTTCTATTAAATGTTCTATTATATAAGTTACAGGTGACAACATTGGTCCTTAAATTAGCAAATGTTGAGGTTTTTACTGTATATAACTTTAAAAGTAGAAATGGAATTCAAATTTAGAACCAGTGGGGGGAAAAAAAAATTCTGGATGGATTCTTTCCTCAAACATTGTGACAAACTGTAGCTGACGATGTAGGACAGAACCATAAGAACACCTGCTTAGAACAACAAGACTAGTTTAGACAGGCATAACTTTAGCACTGGAAGGTTTCAGAAAAGTAAAAGGTTCAGGGTTTTTTTCACATCAGCACCCACAATTGTGAGGTGAGGGTTCTGCTGCTTATCATTATTTAAGTGGTATTCATATTCATTTCCTACCTTTAAAGGCAACTTTTTTTTAGTTAGCATCTTCACCAACAACCATTAGAAATAATCCGTGGGCGTATTTTTCCTCCTGGTGTCAGAGATTCTTACCTTTAACTTTACAACACCAGTTTTGTCTCTGTGTTCGCTCTCTGTTTTAGTAAGTGCTCTTTCCTTCCGGAATTTTGTGTCTCGCCTTTAGCCTCCTCTGAACTCCACGTGTCGTTTAGATTTCCGCTCATTGTATCTTTGTCAGCTAATTATTCTGTATGAATTTGTCTTGTGTCCCAGCTGTGGAACGTCTGAATAAAAATTTTAAAAATCTGCCACAAAGACAGAAGGTCTAACCTTCTTTTCAATGTCTGTGTGTCTGTGTGAAAGAGAGGGATTCTATTATTAACAATTACAATCTATTATGCAATGTTTAAAATAAAAAAAGCTAAAAGTCAGTCTAAAGATAAAACACTCCTGAGTTAAACCAGCAACAGTTAAAGGTTAATTAAAAACAGCAAGAGTCAATAATAATCAAGAGTCAAATGTACAGTACGAACAACAACTATTTCAACAACTATTCTTCTATACTTCTTATTTTTTGCATTTTTTTCTTGATAGTAAGACTATAGTCTTGCTTGTTTTAGGTGATATTTTTTGCAGTTTTTAGCACAAATTATTCACTTGGCAGCCGGTTTCAGGGCATAGACTTGCATTTTGAGTCATTTCTGGGACTGGTTTCAGGGCATAAACTTGCATTTTGAGTCATTTCTGGGACTTTCTATTTTACTTGATAGTCTTGCTTGTTTTTGTTAACCTTTAACGGAGCAGTATTACCGGTCCACAGTAACAGCTGATACCTGCTGACCAGTTCTTGGTACAAAAAAAAGTTGGGGACCACTGACTACTCAGACTGCTTCCTTCAGAGATAAGATTTCTTCAGACCTGTCTTCCTGGAGGACATCCAGGGATGGATGAGAGGAACTTTGTAAGTTCCATTCTGAACTGTCTGGTGACCAGAGTGTAGATTAGAGGGTCCACAGCAGCCTGCATACAGGTGAGAACCAGGGCTGATGTTTCCAGCTCCAGCAGCAGCTGTGGACAAAGAGTGGAAAGGTGTTTAGGGAAAATATAATTTTTCCGATATAATTTTTGAATGCAGTGGATGCTACTGATGGGTCTCTCTTTAGTTTCACGCTGTGTGAAGTTGTAATATTAGCACAAGAACGGTTGAGGAAAGTTTAGATAATAGATTTCGTCATGTTTGACAGACGCCATTTTACTTGTGCATGTTGTTGTGCACGAATATACTATTAGCTTAAAACTTTTACTCCTCAACACAACAGGCAAAGTCCACTTTAAGAAAGAAAACAACATTTATTAAACTAACCAAATCAGAACGAGTGCAGAAACGAAATGGCGGAGGAACGCTGCTGTTCTAGTTGACGGAGCAACCTAACACAGACGAGTTAGCTTACCGTTTTTAGGTGACATGCTTTGTTTGTAGTCGAGCTGTGATATGCAAACTGTTGCTCGCTAACTTTACATTCCACTTTTTCCGTTAACTATTTTTGTAAAATGCTGTCCCACTGTGGACATGTCTGACACTGTAGAAGAGAATGAAACGCTCAAAATTAAATAAACATTCAGCAAACCACCTTACCTCGGCTTTCAGGTACGTTCTTTAATCTGCCTGTGGATTGGGCTAATCCAAAATAGTGAAAACAAGGGGGGTGTTCTGAAGAAGAACCGTTAACTGTGAAACGGAGTGCTGTAAAACCACCTCCACCTTGGTACATTCCTAAATTTAAGCCTAACAGCGACAAAAATATCTGTTTAATTTTTATATATATTTTATATTGATTTGATAACTTTGATGTTAAGTTGGCATGTACATGGAATATTAATGTTTCATTACACATTTATTGATTTGGTACCGCATACTCAAATAGATATGCCCAATGCACTACTTTTGAGCTAGACAAATTGTTACAAATAATTGCGATAAATCACACATAATCATGCAAACAGAAATGTAAAACGCTGCAGAGCACTAATAACTTATCATTTCCATACATCTAATATTTTTACGTTTAAATGTATGTATGCTAAAATAATAATACTTTTGACTTTTAAGAACAAAAGTATATTTAAAATAATACTTTTGACTTTAAGAACAAAAGTATATTTAAAATAAAATAAAAATCAGAAGATGACATTCTTAAGCTACAGTAAAGTGAGAATACTTGCTTAATAATATGTTGGAAGGACAGGTTCAGCTGGGCTTTTTTTAATATTGTACTTACTTTGTCAGGGTTCCTACACATGGCCCTCAGCAGCAAAATGATGACCAGCGGTGTCCAGAAAAGTGTGAAGGCTACAATTATGTAGCCAAAACGCTGAGCCACTTTTCCCTCCATACGTTTCTTTCCTCGTTCTCTGGCTCCAGGTGTTATTAAACAAACGGCCCCAACGATCTCCGGAGCTGCCCTTAAGGGAGTACCTTCTTCTCTCTCTTCACCGGGCTCAACCACTAAAACCACAGAGCGCCTTGGTGCCGCCGGACCACAGAAACCATGAGAACTGACCCGACGAGCAGACTGTGGTGCACTGAGCCAGGCCCAGACATGGTTCGAGACCGTGGACCTCAGCTGGACTCCTCTGGAGAACACATTCCTCCTGTGATTTCTCACCACTTTAAAGATCCTGGTGTAGTGAACCACGATCAGGATGATGGACAGACACCACACTGGAACCAAAACATAGGTTCCAAAAGGATCTGGATGTTGAAGACGTTCCTCTGTGACAAGATGAGGGTAACAGAGCAGGTAGAAGAGCGCCTCACTGGATAAAGTCAAAGACACAGCTGCCAGGATCAGACCACACAGCCAGATGGACGGTATCCAGACCCGGACTCTGGCTTTCCTTCTCTCTGTTTGGAATGGAAAGGCGATGGCCTGAAAACGTTCCACACTGATTCCAGCCAGGGTGAGGAGCTGGACGCAGCAGCAGAGGGCGTAGGTGAACTGCTGAAGGGTGCACATACCCACGGGTATGGAGACAGATGCAGGGCCGTCTTTCCTGCTGTAGGACAGAAAAGAAAACAGCAGCAGAGGTGTGTCCACAGAGCACTTCAGAAGATCACTGACAGCCAAACTAACCAGGAGAGCATTATCGGACGTCTGAAGACTCCTGGTCTTAAAGACCAACCAACACACCCAAAGGTTTCCAGGTAAACCCAGGGTCAGAGTCACACCCAGGACTGTGCAGTTCAACAGATGGAAGAAGAAATCTACAACCGTATCTCGCTGATCATCATGGTACCATTTGGTCTGGTTCCACATAGTGTAAACAACCACCCTATCAACACAGCACTGCTCAGCGAATGCTGGAGTACCTTCATCTCCTGCTGCTGCCGATGACGATTTACCACACAAAAAGGGTACAAATTAACTCAAGTGGGTTTAAATCATTCAATGGAGGGCTTTTCCTTTCTTCTGATTGGCTGAATGGGAGGAACCTTCTTGATTAGTCTGTAATCAGGAGGGACCAATTTTTGACCTTGACAGAAAATACAGCCGTTCACAGAGCCTTTTCCTCTTCTGTTACAAACATCAGGTCTAATCAAAAGACAAGGAACATTATTTAACCTTCAACAACACATTTATTTTTCTAAACACTTCAAATAGCGAGATTAGAAAGAGATTTTTTTTCACTTAATAACATTCAGGGATTTTTTTATCGGCTCCCAGGATAAGAACTTCAGTGACTTCTTGTCCTGGTCTTGATTCTAACAATAAGTTGACTTTCCTTTTAGCTGCGTTTTGGTCTAATTTGATCAGGTTTTAGTCTTTCCAGATATCACAGATGACTCTCATTTGGAAAAGCTCGTCATCTCCTCCAGACTCAATGGTCTTCTGTTCATAAATACTGCTTTTCAGGTCATTATTTTCTATTGGATTTCATTGGGTATATGAAATAATATTCACTCTTTTCTTTTGCAGGAATTGGGCTTAGCGTTGGTTTTGAAAACCACAAATCCTGAACCATCATTCAGACGGTACTGCCTGCCTCTGGTTTCATTCTGGTATATAAACATGTAAATAAGTCCATAATCAGATGTGTGTTGTCCATGTAAATACAGACTCAGTGTTTCATGAGTGCCTCCATGTAGACGGCGTTCATACGGTATGCTGCCATCCAGTTTGGCGCAACACTGTAGTACTGCTGAAATCCTGGATATGGAGATGTGGAACTGTAAAAATTCTTCCAGGCTCTGTAACAGGCTCTCCAGTAATCTTTAGAGTCCCATCCCTCCTCATCCTCTACCTCAGAGTCTGCTTCTTCAATGTCCTTTTCTGGAATTTTGTCTTTGCTCCTCTTTTTGCTCCGTTTCTCATTTTCATCGCTCGTCTTTACTGGGGCTTTTTCTTTACTTTTTGTCAGAACGCGTTCTTTGCTGTTGTCATGTGGAGACCGATCCTGGCGCTGAACACCGAAAGGGTCCTTGTGATGTGTTTTTGTTTGATTTGAGTGAGGTGTCATCACTGATTGAGAAAACTTGTCCTCAGCACACGAGCCCGGAGAACCAACAGAGTTCACACCGTGGTCTTTGAACTTCGTGACCTCCGCGTGTCTACTCCTCTCCTTGCTCCTGTTCTCAGAAATGTTCCTTCTCTCACCACTTTCTTCTTTAGTCTTTTTCCACTCGTTTCTTCTCCTCCATTCTGGAATCTCATGACCGACTTCACTCTCTCTTTTGATGCTTGGTGTAGACTGAAAGCTTCCAGGTTGCGCCAAAAACTCAATTTGCTTGTTTTCTTCATTCGTCTGACATTCCGTTACCGATCCCTGATCATGACTGGAACTTCTCATATCGTTATCCTGCTGGCTGAAGGAACCAGACACGGAAGATGTAGACGAAGCTCTTGATAATGGCAACGCTGCAGAGTTGTCGTCTTTATATGTTGTGTTCTGATCATCAGAGCTGTCCACGTCTCGACCCCTGAACTCCCTGATGATCTCCACCGATCTGCCCAAGCCTGTGGTGATAAAGCTCTCGAAGTCTCTCTCCGCTTCGTCCAAGGTCATATTTCTAGACCTGCAGGTCTTGAAAGAGCTCAGAGATGGGATCTTTGGTAAGGCCTCCTGAAGCTGTTTTCGTGTTACAGCTGCCTGAGGAGTGCTTATGGCATCGCCTTTACCAGTAATTACTGTTTTCTTCAGCTTGGCTGGTGCACATTGCTCTGCAGTTTCACAAGTGGTTGAGATGGGAACAGTGGCAGAAGCTTCAGTATTGTTCTTCTTCTCTGTCCTGGAGATGATGTTAGAGAGTGACGACGGAGGAGACACTTCGGGGCAGAGGTCCCAGTCACAAGGTTCATCCATTAAACTGGCTTCTAAAATGGCTAAAAGCACAGAAAGGGACACGTGAGGGCCAGAACCATTTGTTAAAAACTGAAGAATGTTGTATTTGAATACAATGAATAACAATGAATGAATGAGAAATTGACATATTCAGGAAAGAGAAAAAGTATTTCCATCACAGGAATTAGTACTGAAAACTAGGTGCACTTCCAAACGTGTGCATAGGTAGCCTGAACTAAAGACATGATTGGTGGAAAAGACATAAAATCCGAGTTTGGAAATGATGACTGAAAAAGGTTTCTGGTACCGTTTCCTTCCTGTGAATCATTTTAATAAAAGCATGATTTAAACAGTCTTGGGTTCGTCTTAGGCTGACAATCCTGTTTTTGAACAGCAAACGATATAAAATTATTCACGTTTCATAGAAAAATGTGGTTGATTGAAAGGTTCTGGGAAACTCAAGTAATCTTAAGTGATTAAAAAAAATATTTTACAGGATTTGAAAACGCAAGTTATACATCGTATAAAACTTTTTATTTTCCTTCTTTTAAAAATCATTATATCTCATTGACTGAAACTTGTAAACGATTCACTCTCACCTAAGTTCAAAGAGATACTGTAATCAGTGATGGTCTAATGCTGCCTCCTGTGGTCAGTTGGTGTCACTGGGATTTTGAAAATTACAAAAATTCTTTTGATCCCACACTGAGGAACTCCTTGTGTTAACAGCAGATCTGCTGCAACAGGAAGCCTCTTGATGTGGTTCCTCTGGGAATCAAACCCAGGACTCTGTGCTTTGCTTTTCACTCGAATGGCAAAGTGTGCTAACTGCTACACTATGGAACCACAAATAACTACAAAGGATTTGAAACTTTCAAGCAGCATGTTACTTACATGGCAGTGCAGTCAGACTGAGGCCACACTTCTGACCGATGGCCATCAGCTTGTTCTCCTCCTCACCGTGGCAGCAGTAGGTCACAGCCAGACCCTGAGTTCCTTTAAAGAAAAAAAAAAAAAAACAACCTGATGAAAAGCTGTTCACACAACTTACATTTTGGTCATTATATTAAAGCTGGGATAGGTAACATTTTGGGGTCTTAAACTCAAATTCAAACACACACAAAAAAGCTTATCAATTTATAGGACATACATTTTAAAAAGTCTAAATTGTAATTTATTCAACAGAGAAAAGCTGTTGAGCCTTCCAGTCCAATTAATATATTCTGTTATTCTGTATATTCTTTTATTCATTCCATAGGAATTGAAGAGCATACAAATTAGAAATAATTTTATATACATACATATATATACATATATATACATACACATGTATACACATATATACATACATACACATATATACATGTATACACATACACATATATACATACATGTATACACATACTGTATAGACTCACATGTACATATACTGTATATATATATATACACACACATTAGTATATACTGTATATACTATAATCTTATATTAATTATAAATTAACAATAACTGAGATGTAGTATTAGCCTTTATATAACCCTACTCATTTGACTAGATTAGATTTTTATTTTATTTTTATTAAAACGTTTCCTCCACTAACCTTCTATTCACTTCTGCTTATGAGATAAAAAAAAAAACCAAAGGTACCGCAGACTAACCGTAACGTCCTGCACGTCCGATTCTGTGCATGTATGTTTCCCAGTTCTGAGGGACGTCTAGGTTTATCACCAGGTTGACCTTCTCTGCATCAATGCCCCTGGATGTCTGATAGGAAGAAGAAAGGAGTCAAAGAAATGAAGAGAACTTTAGAAACAGAGTAACTGACATGCAACCGCACACACACAACACAACAGTTTTGAGAGTATCCTACCAGGTCGGTGGAGATCAGAACCCTGCACTGATACTGTTTCAGTTTAGACATGGCGTCCAGCCTCTGCTCCTGGGTGAGCCCTCCTGCACGATACCACCATCACACATGATTAGTCGCATTTAAAATAGAGAGAATGTATTTCTGTTAATTTTTTTTTTTTTTTTTACCTGAAATACAAATTGCTGGTAACCCTTTGGAGGACAGGAGATCTGCCAGGTTCTGAGCTCTGCCACAATAAAAAAAAAAACAAGTTATCAAGTTTTTTAACTAAACAATGTGAGTTTTTTTTTTCAAGTAAATTACCTGGAGTGTAGGTTAGAGAAGACCAGTGCCTGGTTAAAGGGGATTTTACTGAACAGTTCCAGCAGATGCTGAACTTTCTCATCAAACACTTGGTGAGGTAAGTGATAAGACTTTATCAGCTTGTAGTATTGCTTCAGACCTTTAGGGGGCATACAGGGACAACATTACGCTGGAGGCTGAACACCAAGTAAAACGCTGTCACAAATATAGTTGTTAACAACGGCTTTACGAAATGCATTTTATTAAGCCATAGTTCTGGTGGGAATATGGTCTCACCTCTGAGGCCCATGTCGCTTGGGTTAAGTCTAACGAACGTGGGCTCTCTCATGTAGCGGGTGAGGTGCTGCGCAAGGGATTCTGGGTAAGTGGCAGAAAGGGCTAGCATCTGTTTGTTCACAGGCAGAGAGGAGTAGATCCAGCTGGAGGAGGAAGAAGACAAAGATAAAGAGCGTGGACATTGTTGACCATTTATCTCTTTAACACCGGACAGCTGATGACTTTACTTGATCTGTTCCTGGAAACTCCCTTCCTCTAGGAGTTTGTCTGCCTCATCCAAAACGAAGAGTCTAATGTTGGCTGTGGACAACATACCCAACTCAATCAGCTGCTTGATACGACCTATGAGAAATGGACGAAAGGGAGACGATCAAAAAATAGAGTTGTTTTTTTTCTCTGTTAATTAATTATGGTTTTCCACTTTGTAGCTACTTCAGCTAACATTTTTCAAATACATGTGATTTCTTCACCCAGTGGTGCTCAATTCTTATACAGACAGCCCTCAAATTGAAATACTATTGAGAACCTGATGTATATTTCTATCTGTACAAACCACTGTATGAGTTGCTGCCACCTAGTGACTGGAGGCTTGTTATCATTCAAGCATTACAGCAGTGGTACACTTATGTCCGGCATGCCATATACCTTCGGAAGCCCCTCACCCTCCCCCGGTGCCTCACCGTGCCCCCCAGAGGAGCCCACCCCAATATTTGAGAAGCACCGTCATAACCCACTTTTTTTTTTTTAATCTAACTTACTGTTATTATTAGATCCTTTTGGGTCACTATTGTCTACGGTACTGTAGAATTTCATCGGGGATGTTTTACTTTGGTAATGTCAATATTTTTGGCTAGCTCTAAGCAAAATGTTTGAGTTTTGGCTTCTTTTTTTTTTTTTTTTTTACTATTTTAGGATTATATATTGTTTGTTTTTGAAACCTACTGTAATTTATTTTGACACATTCCAAAGTATTTCTTGCCAAACTTTTATGAAATGGTGAATATCAGCTTTAAGATTTCATTTTGAGTAACTTTTACTCAGCATGTTTTTTTGTTTTTTTTAAACTACTTTATCACTTTGTCCTTGGCACTGAAGCCATCATTCACCAAACGTTTAACCAGTTCCTTTGTCTATGTCTTCTGTCCCTCTCATCAACTCATACTTAGACCATCCAACAGTCTTGGACACACCATGTACATTATGTTTTGTGTGTTTTGCCAATCCCAATGTCTGTCCAGTAAGATTTAGAACAGTTAAACCAAGATAAAACTAAAAGCATTGTTTTATGACAGCTCAGTAGTTTACAGATTAACATGCTGAATTTAAGCATTTAAACAGCGTTTGTTTCTTTTCCTCTTTTTTTTTATATTATTTAATATTATTTTTTCTTTTATGCAATCGATTTTAGTTTCGAAGTTTAGTTTAGTTACAAATAACTTGAGTCACGTGGTGATGTAAAGTGCTTTATAAATAAATGTTTATACCTGGTGAACCCACTGCTATGTGACACTTCTTCAGATGAGTTTTGTCCTGAGCCACAGGTCGGCCACCAATGAACACCTGACACTGTAGACCCTCCATGGCACAACCGATGGCTAGCACGACAGAGTGGATCTGCACAGCGATCTCACGTGTGGGAGCCAGGACCAGGACCTGCGGCAGTGTTGGAGAAGAACCAGGTCTTAAGGTCTTGAGGTAAGATTGACACATTAGATACGAGAGAGAAACAGCTGCTTCAAGACACCTAAGCAGTAAAACCTCGAAGCTGAAAAGATTAGACTTCATTAAAATGAACTCACTCATCTCCTTTATTAATGATGGTTTCCTTTTAATCTAAGCAGTTTTAACTCATCTGATTAAAATCCAGATCAACCGAGAGATTAAAACTCCTAACAGGACCATCTGTCCTAAACAGCAACATCATAAAAACAAAAAAGCCAAGTGCTGTTTAGAATGAGGTTCTGTTTCCTGGTCAGCGTTTTTTAGGCAGTATTTGAGCAGAACTTTAGAATTGATCGCATGCAACAGTGAAACACACACACATTAAACACTCATCACTGGTTTCACACATCAATCAGGTTCACTCAGAGGTTAGTTCTAGTTCTGCTGCTGCAAACCGGGCCTGGTGGTGAACCGCGTTCTAAAGCTTTGTTCCAAATAAACGTCAGTTCTGTTGGTCGCGGCGTATGCAGAATAGAAAAGTGGATCCTTATGGATCATTTGTGTTTGAATGACAGGTTTTATCTTGTTTCTAACACATGCAACAAGCAGAAGACACCAAATCGCCTACATCTTAAAGGAGGTTCTGTATTGGAGGGATTTCAGTCTCAAAGGTACGTTATAAAAAACAAACAAAAACTGTCACTCCTCAATATTTACATCTGCCTTGATGTAATGTTCTATTCCATTTCATGAAAATATGCATCAGCCAACAGAACTTTGTTTATTGCAACTTTAAATTTGGATCTGTTTTTAAATGATCTCCCAAATCAATGCTGCTGTAGAGTTTATTTATATGTGAGCAGAATGGAGGAGTGACACGTGAAGATTCATTCAAGCTTAGTTGTCAATATCCCAACATGTTACTGGAAGCACAAATTGACAATAAACATTAATATCCCCAAAACTTAAATGGGATTTGGTTTAATTAAATGACACTCACCGGCCACGAGAACTGGAAGGGGATCAATATCTTCCCGGCCTCGTCCATTTTATTGGGGTTTCTCTTCCCGCTGGTCTTAAAAGAAAACATATTTCCACCGAGAACTTGTGTAGATCCAGTTCCAAGTGAAACTCCAATCTCGCAAGATTGGAATTTGAAAAAACATGCGATGTACTGAGGGAGCGAATAGAGAACCGCGATATAGAGAGGAAACACAGTACCAACATCGGTTGATGCCAACACGCAAAAAGTACTGTATATTGTTGTTTGCTTTTGTCCGGTAACATCAGTTTGTAGAGGCACATTTCTTAATAAAATAGTTAATTTAAAAGTACATGGGTTGTGGGTTTTTAATATTTATCGTGTTATTGTAAAAGTATCAGGAACCATGAAAAAAGTATTGGTATTGACAGAAATTCTTGTTTTGTGACAACCCTATCCTTTAGTTATGCTCCTGTAAGCCTAGACTACTGTGGGAACTCCCATGGTGCACTCAACACTTAACCTCCCCCAGTCTTCTAAGAACCACGTACACATGAATTAATGTCATGACACAAACCTGGTGTCCTCTTTCTCCACTAGCCTTCTTTCTCCTTGTCCCTGTGTTCACCTCACAAATTAATGTCACTCCTATTACTATAGAATTATAAAACCTGATCCCGGTCCAACACTGACGTCATATTACTAATATTGTCATTCTTTACTCATAAAATCTAACTAAGCAGAACTATTTTTTTAACTACCACTAACTTGTTCCTACAACATCCCCATCCTGCTTCAACGACTACCGCCCCGTAGCACTGACACCCATCATCATGAAGTGCTTTGAACGGCTAGTCATGTCCCACATCAAAACCACCCTGGATCCACACCAGTTTGCATACCGTGCCAACCGCTCCACGGAAGATGCAATCTGCTCTGCTCTTCACCCAGCCCTCACCCACCTGGACAAGAAAGACACATATGTGAGAATGCTGTTCATAGACTTCAGCTCAGCATTCAACACCATCATACCACAACAACTCATCAGCAAACTGCACCGGCTGGGTCTCAGCACCTCCCTCTGTAACTGGGTGCTAGACTTCCTCAGCCAGCGACCGCAAGCAGTACGCGTCGGTAACAACACCTCGAGCACCATCACCCTGAGCACGGGAGCCCCCCAAGGCTGCGTACTCAGTCCTCTGCTCTTCACCCTACTGACACACGACTGCACAGCAACCCACAACTCCAACCACCTGGTGAAGTTTGCGGACAACACAACTCTGGTGGGTCTCATCACCAGGGGCGACAAGACTCACTACAGGAAAGAGGTGGACCTTCTTACCACGTAGTGTAAAGACAATAACCTCGTGCTGAATGTCAGCAAGACGAAGGAAATTGTCATCAACTTCCAGAGATGCCGCGCCGAACACCCACCACTGACCATCGACGGTGCTGCTGTGGAGAGAGTGAGCAGCACTAGATTTCTGGGGGTGCATATCAGCGAGGACCTCTCCTGGACCACCAACACCACATCACTGGCAAAGAAGGCACAACAGCGCCTCTACTTCCTGCGCAAACTGAAACGGGCAAACGCGTCACCACCAATCATGACCATTTTCTACAGAGGAACCATCGAAAGCATCCTTTCAAGCTGCATCACTGTGTGGGGCGGGAGCTGCACTGACTACAACAGGAGAGCCCTGCAGCGCATAGTGAACACAGCTAGAAAGATCATTGGTGCTCCACTCCCCTCACTAACGGACCTGTACACCACACGCCTCACTCGCAAAGCCATCACAATTGTGAGTGACGACACCCACCCTGCACACGGCCTGTTCAGCCTCCTGCCCTCTGGGAAGCGCTACAGGAGCCTCTTAGCCCGCACCACCAGACTCACTAACAGCTGCATTCACCATGCTGTTAGGCTACTGAACTCTCTCCCCTCTCCACCCACAATCACTCCCACTTGAAATGCCATAAATGCACTATTGACTTGTAATACAATGCACTATTACCACCTCATCTGCTGCTCCCCCTCCCCCTCACTGCACTGTCTGCCTCCGTACTCACCACCATCCACCTGTACCTTTGCCTCTTTTACATATCCACCGCACTGTTGAAATGCCATAAATGCACTATTGACTTGTAATACAATGCACTATTACCACCTCATCTGCTGCTAATTATATTATTACTATATTTATTATGTACCTCATGTATATATTTTTACAGACCATACAGCACCTTAAAGCTACACATGCACCTTATTGTTATTGCACCTTAATGTTTTTCATTCAGTATTGTCTATGTCTGTCAGCGCACGGGAAGGCGAGGAACGTAATTTCGATACCTCTGTATGTTCTGTACATGTGAAGGTATTGACAATAAAGCTGACCTTGACAACTGTTGTACTATTTGCATTTTAACAGCGTGTGTGATTGTTAAAGTGTATGTCTGCTTCTTCTTTCGACTTCGTCAAGTGGAAGTCCAAGAGCATAGGTTTTGGAAATGATGCAAAAGCGCTGACTCTTCCTGGTCTAAGTTCGCTTTTTTTTTCTTTTTTTTTTTTTAAATAAGCTAAACGCTCCGCTTCATACTTTTCTAAAACGGCAACACGTACACATCGATATCATTTTAGTATCAGACTCACCGAGTCCACATCGTCCAAGTGGAATCGCCTTCAGCTGTATCGGTGACGGTTTATAAAAGCCAGCAGCTGTAAGTCCTTCCAAAACTTTCCCTGACAGCAGCAGGGAACTAAACTCTATTCCTGATTCCGATAAAAGAACATCTTCTGTCCTTTTACGAGAAGCGACATCATGAGCTGCTTTCTTTACGGAGGACGCCATGTTGACAGGGCAGTGTTTTTCAAAAGCCTTTATAATACGGTAGGATTGCACCTCTACTGCTCTCTACTGACCAGGAGGGAAAACGCAGGCACCGTATCAAAAGTTAAAAACTGGAAAATACAGTACCTTATCATTTTAAAAATGGCCATTTTAAAATTTAAATAAAAAAATTAAATCAAACTTTCATTTTGTAGATAGAAAAATGTTTCTAAATCAATACATTGATTTAGAAAAATAAAAACAACCATACATTTAAAGTGTCACACAATACTGACAGTACGTAGAGACTGTACACACTAGAGCAGACATGGGCAAACTACGGCCCGAGGGCCAGGTACGGCACGTTCGGCTTTCTTATTCGGCCCTCCTGACACTAGTACAAAGTATGGTAAAGACTGGTAAAAAGGGTAAAAATGCCTACTTATCCTGTGATCTAATTTTGTTTTTAATATTTGTTCAACTTACAACCTGCCATGTATTGTAAACGTAAGCCCAAAAAATGTAACAAAAAAGTCACTGTAGGCAAAATGTTATCTGTGCATTTGGTCTATAAAGAAAATGGGCTTGACTTGACTTGACCTGAGTGCTGCTGATATCTGACCTTGTTGTGCCCACTGCAACCACACGGGCTTCATTACTCAGGGAACAGCTGCCTCTTCTGAGTTCACTGAAAGCACAATCCTAAGACGGTCTTTCTCCGAATAATCTTGATCGCAATCCGGATTTGAGGATTTGGAGAATTGGCGCTAACTAGGGTTTTAAATCAAGTTAAATGCACATGCATGTCTACCTCTGTGTCAGACAACTTGCTACCGGTGTAATGACAGCACCTGCTCCTGACTTACACTGTTATAAAGTGTCTGGAGATGTTTTGAGAGGATTCCTGATGCAAATTTGTAACTGCGTTTTTTTACGGACAATTTGAACCAGATACAGAATGCTGATCCTATCTCCCCAGGACGGAAATTCCACGTGGCGTTTGAACTCTGCTGATCGAGACCAGCCATGGATCAGCAGAGGTGGTTACACTCTTTTAGCCTCCATCATGGGCAGCTTCTCAGTGGCGGCGATCATTCTGAATGTCCTTGTGATTGTTGTGATGCTCAAACATCGTCAGCTGCGTCAGCCTCTCAGCTTCGCCCTGGTCAACCTGGCCGTCTGTGACCTGGGCTGTGCGCTGTTTGGAGGCCTGCCCACCACGGTCACCAGTGCCTTGGGTTACTTCAGTCTGGGCTCCGTGGGCTGCACTCTGGAGGGCTTTGCTGTTGCCTTCTTTGGTGAGAGAGCAATAATGTACTGAAGTACTTTAGTGATTCATACATGACGTATATTTTCACGTAAGTCAAAAGATAATGTACAGTAAAGTCAGTAGAAAATAAGTTAACATTCAGCCACAATTAAACTAGAGCAAACAGAAATGTTACCAACAAATGTCAAAGGTTTCCCCGGGGTATGTTCTAAAATTAAACTAGTCAACAAGAGGGTCAAAACTGTACTGTTACTGTGCTTTTGGAATCAGTTACACTTGCAGTGATATTCAAATGGGTCAATGACGATGGTAAGAACAGTGTCTACTGTTGTATGTCCCAGAATTGATTATTATTACATTGTTGGGGAAGTCTGGGGAACTCTTACAAAGTTTGGTGACCCCTGCTTTACTCTGTGACATATACTGATGTCTATTAAGTTGAGTAATGCAGAGCATTGAGTGTATTTCTTTGATTTCTACTTTTTCACAGGTATAGCCAGTCTTTGTACAGTTGCAGTTATTTCTGTGGAACGTTACATTGTGGTATGTTATCCTATGGGGGCTGTTCTGTTCCAGACCAGGTAGTAACCAATTCATTTCATTTGCAGCAAACCTTTTCAACAATGTATATATCGGAAAATGCCAATGAGAATGTTAACATATCTTAAGTCTGTAGTTTCTTTTTCTTAATTTGAAAATCAGTGAGTTGCGCTTTGGCCCAGAGGCAATGTCCACTGGAAGGACTATAACCGGGATTCGAACTTGCCCAGGAGGTGAACACTGGTGTTCCACACCAATGACAGAGACATTGCCTCTGGGCCAAAGCGCCACCTTAATATACTAATTCACTAATTTACGAACGTACTATTTACTACTACTACTGACCTACAATTCAAATCTACTAATATCCACTCGTATACTAATACTTCTTACTCTAACATCCACCTACATCCACAGTTCAGGTTTAGGAACTCTCAGGGGATAAAATACAGTTCTATCTAATAGAATCTCTTGTGATTTGCATGTCGAGGAAATCAGCGTCTTACATGTATTTGGTTTTTCCAGACATGCAGTGGCTGGCGTGGTTCTGTCGTGGGTATGGTCCTTCATCTGGAATACTCCACCTCTTTTTGGTTGGGGAAGTTTTGAACTGGAGGGATTGGAGTTATCCTGTGCCCCTAACTGGTACAGCAGAGACTATGGGAACATGTCCTACATAGTAATTTACTTTTTTCTTTGCTTCGCCGTGCCCTTCTCCATCATCATGGTGTCCTACGCAAGACTGCTGTGGACCCTACGGCAGGTGAGAAGGTGGACTCTGTATGTTTGTCTTAGGGCTGTGGTGAGTGACCTACACTGAAAGAGGTGATTCTATACATGTAATGTCCTATCAACCAATCACATGGCAGCAGGTACATCAGCGACTCCATAATGTATTAATGAATGTTTCAAACAAATATTGTACATTTCTGTGTAATATGATCTTGTAATTAATGAGGATACGGCCATACAAAATAACTTGGCAGACCAAGTTTGGTCCCCCCGTGCCTTGAGTTTGACTCACGCTGTAGACATTACTGAGAAGCTCAAACTGAGCAGAAAATGACAGAGAAGAACGATTTAAACCAGGGGTCACCGACCTTTTTGAAACTGAGAGCTACAGTACTTCAAGGACACTTGAAGTGTCTGATACAGACTTCCTGAACATTGTAATAATAATTAGGTCTGGGACATATTATAGCAGACACTCTTCTTCCCATCACCACTGCCGCCATTTAAATATCAAGTAAAACTGATTCAAAAACACAGTAACCATCTTGTTGACTAGTTCTATTTTTAGAACATACCCCGCGGGTAGTTTAGGTAGTCCACGGTGGCTACCAGATGACCCCAGGCACCACGTTGGTGACCCCTGAGTTAAACAATTTCAATGTATATAATTTCAAAATTTCCCTGCATACAACCATCCGCAACCTAATGTCTGAACAAAGACAGATTTTTCTGTGTAAGACCTAGCGACAGCGCAACCCAATGCTCAATATTTGGTCAACATTTCAGGAAAAAAAAATAGGGACACTATTGCAACCGCGGCCTACAGTTGCAGTATCATTACCAGACATGAAGAACTTCTAACGAACCATTCGAAGTAAAAACAACTTTTTGATGTTTTTGAGTTCAGTGCAACACAAATAAGTCCGTCTGTTTGTATAACATCTATGAACCCAATAGCAGAAAGTTTGCAGCCAGAGAGGCATCAGTATCATAGAGAACCAAACCGGACCCTGAACTTTACAATAAAAATATTTTTCTTTTTCTCAAAGGTGACCAAGCTGCAAGTATCTGAGGGCAGCAGCACCAACCGCGTGGAGGTCCAGGTGGCTCGTATGGTGGTGGTGATGGTGCTGGCCTTCCTGCTCACCTGGCTGCCGTACGCTGCCATGGCTTTGGCCATAATCCTAGACTCAAGTCTGTACATCAACCCCCTTATTGCAACTGTACCAGTTTTTCTGGCCAAGAGCAGCACTGTCTACAACCCCATCATATATGTTTTCATGAACAGACAGGTAATCCTTTAGTGTGATCCTCACCCCCCCACCCCCAAAAAAAGAAAAAAAAAAATCTTTCGTCATTAACAACATGTTTTTTTTCTTCAGCTCCGACGATATGCCATACCAACGATTCTGTGTGGATGGAACCCGTGTGGATCTGACGCTCAGACGTCAGAGGGGGAAATGACTGTGGCGACTCTGAACAGGAGTCAAAGAGTCTCACCTAAACAATCCTTGAAAGAGTGAAAGTGACAACAAAGATACCTGTGAAGGACCTCCATCATCTAGAAGTTTTGTTTGTCCTTGTTTTTGTTTCTATAAAAAAAAGGTTGTTTTTTTTTTTATAGTTTTTACCTCAGTGGGTTTTTTTGGGGGGGGGTTTTAATAGTTTTTACCTCAGTGAAACAAACAGAAGTTTAAACATGGAGGTGAAGAAATATCAGAAGACATCCTATGTTGTCCTGCTAGTCTCTTGACACTGTAATGTCTCTCATTAAACATGATAAAATGTCCTTTATGCCACTTATTATGCTACTTTTACATGTGTATATATGTGCATATATATACACATACATATATACTTATATAGGATATATATATTATATATGTATTTACAGTGTGTATGTATATATGTATATTTAATGTGTATATATGTGCATATATATACACATACATATATACTTATATAGGATATATATATTATATATGTATTTACAGTGTGTATGTATATATGTATATTTACATGTGTATATATGTGCATATATATACACATACATATATACTTATATAGGATATATATATTATATATGTATTTACAGTGTGTATGTATATATGTATATTTAATGTGTATATATGTGCATATATATACACATACATATATACTTATATAGGATATATATATTATATATGTATTTACAGTGTGTATGTATATATGTATATTTAATGTGTATATATGTGCATATATATACACATACATATATACTTATATAGGCGGTATATATTATATATGTATTTACAGTGTGTATGTATATTTACATGTGTATATACGTGCATATATATACATATATACATATATACAAACACACACATATATTTATATATACAGTATATATTATTGGTAAATGATCATACCCTGGGAGTGGGAAATAACTTTGGTTTAATATTTAAATGTAATAATATTATTGTTGTGAGTCACAAGAAATATATACATATATATATAAATTGCTGCCGTGCAAACAGAATACTACTTTGTGTTTCCTAAACCAAATCTCACTGCTCACTTTTGTTCATACATCCTGAAGACAATTTTGAATTCATCTTCAGACTGTGCAATGGTCAAAGCCTGCAGGCCTTCTCCGCAAGGGACAGAAAAGGACATACACGCAATCTGAGTTTTATTGAATTATTATCAGATACACACATACTTGTTGCTTCTGAAGGTTCTGTGCTCAAACATGGTTCACATCCACCACACACTCGCACCTCTGCCACTTTCATGTCTCCAACTGATAGTTCCATCAAGAAAAATAAATGTTATTAGCAATAGATCATACAAGAAAAATAGACAAAGTCCTGAAAATAGTCCAAGTTAAAAAAAAATCCCCACTGTTAAATTTTAAAGGAGGTAAGGTTAAGGGTTTTTTTTTTCAGCTTTAAATCTTTAAAACCAAATTGTCACTAAAGATTGTCCCAGACCAAGACAATGTCCAGAGTCAACCATTTAATGATCTCAGATATAGCTAATCAAAAATTAGTTTAATGGGCGTTTTTGGTTGATCTTGTAAATTGTCATGGTTTTATTTAGAAAAAATATCTGACAATGCATGTGTTTGGAAACAGTGGGACTTCTCAAAAAAAAAAAAATCTGTATACTGTAGTCCAGGGGTCCCCAACCCCAGGTCTGTGGACCGATACCGGTCCATTGTTACCGGGCCGCAGTGGGACACAATAAAAAAAATAAAATCCTTATTTTTACTAATTTACTTCATTTGAAGATAATTCAGTCATATTCATCAACATTTAAAGATAATCTGGTAATATTTCAAAATAATACGTCATTCAGACTCTAGGGGAATAAAGTCTAAAAGATGTTTTATTTTGAAAATTTAACAATCCTCCAACATCGGCCTGGTGTTACTGGTCCGCAGTAACGGCCCCTAATGGCCGACCTGTCCTTGGTACAAAAAGGTTGGGGACCACTGCTGTACTCTATACAGATACAAGTGTGTCCATGTGCAGATACACGCCAGCCTTTTGAATCCAGCACTTTATAGAAAAACACAAAGATTTATATAAATCAAGTCTTACAGTTTGATCAATCACAGTCACTCATTTCCTCCTTCTCTGAGTTGAAGACTTCTGATTTGGACCTTGGCTTTGTTTTAAACCAAACTGCAGGGATATTGCTTTCGTTTTAAATGAACTGAAGGAAACAAAGAACTGTTTTTTACAGGACAGTCTGAAGACAAACAATCTTTACACTACGACGCTCCGACAGGTGCTCACGGGGCAGTGTTGATGTCCGAGTCTCCCAACAAGTCGCTAAAATTACGTAACTTTCAAGTCAAGTCAGAGTTGATTACAGGTCCTACAGCTTTGACGTAAAGAACACTGACGTTAGTTTGCGAGATTTGTGTCACACAAGCGCTGAAATCCAATTAGTTGTGAGTCCAGGTCATCAAAGAAAACTGTGGTGTGGTCAATACCAGGTCTTTTCATATGCTAAGTCGAGGTTCAGTATGAAAGGTTGGAGTCAAGTACTTCAGAATTGGAGCTTAAGTCATCAGTTTGGGTCTTATTTACGGTCTGGGATTGAAGGAACGCAATTGTTGATGTGGCATTTTGAAATGAAATTAAATCAAATAGCAGCTAATTAGCAATTTAGCTGACAGAGATGTTTGCATGTCAGCACACCAGTGTTTGCTTCAGAAACAGCGTGAGGTGGCGCCCTGTCGGATGCTAAGAGGCATTAGCGCTTAGTTAGGCAGGACACTCCTTTTCTTTAACGCCTAGCTTTATCTAGAGATTCAGCCACATTTGCCAAATACTGTGACATTCCCTTTCTTTAACGCCTAGCTTTATGGACCTAGAGATTCAGCCACATTTGCCAAATAAAGTGACCTGGAGTCTATGCTTGAAACATGAGGAGACTAGAGACTATAGGCACTGACTGGAGTAAACAACACAGGTTAAAGTTGGTGTAAAATTGGAATAATCAAAATGCAGGTGTCCATGACGGAACCAAGAACTGCTGTGTCCCCTTGCGTTTGAGTATGGTGCTCTAATACTGCCTCATGACCCTGTTGACCCTGAACTATCCATTCACCCTGTGTGGACATATTCATTTAACAGCAGCATATCAGCAGCTCTCAACACGCGGGAACCAATTATAATCTTCGGAATACGTAAAGAAAAAAAACAAAAAACAACAACAACAAAGAACAGACAGGACGTTTTAACAGCAACATTAAAGTCATATCTCTAAATCTTCATCAATAATTCAATAATAATCAGAGGGAAAAAAAAATAGGGGCTTTGCAAATCACAGGGCAGTGCAGAAAAGAGAAAAGAGCCCCCGCGCCCCAACTGCTGAGGCAAAACAAAGACCTTCAAAAAGAGATCCTACTTACCCCAACTCAAAACAGTGAATGAGAACCTCATCAAAAGACAAACGTTTAAAAAAAAAAAAAAAAACAATGTTCTTTCTAACCAACTTTATAACAGCTTTGCACAGGACACACACTGGTCTAAAGGAAAGGCATTTATCAAAACAACGCTAACTTTAAGTCCTGAGCTCTGGGAATGTGCAATAAACGTCCATCTCTGGGGTTGGCAGCTGCCGAACCTTACTCCTGAAAAGTTCCATTACTTCAGATGGCTCAAAAACCATACGATCGAATATATACACAAATAAAAAAAAAAAAAAAACAGTATTAAACACATATTAAAAATTAAATATTCAATTAAAGTTGGTGCTCAGCGGGAAAAGGCTGGGTTCTAGAACGATCTAAAGGAAGAGGTAACATCATTGCAAAGAGGGAATGTTTGGGTCCCCAGACAAAGTCATGAGTCTCGGTGAAGAAAAGTGGAGTGTAATTGTACCGGGATAAGCACATAGGATTTAGACAGCACCCTGCTGTCCTCCATCTTTGTCCTCATCATGTACTGAATCAGGTAGTTTTTTCTTGACCACCGGACCAAAGTACTACAGAGTTACTTCCATAAAACCGGGGCAGTTAAAAGTCACATGCTCTATTTCAAATTACAACTTGATGCTAGTGTATTCGTTTCTGCACAATACTTGCGCCAAAGTCTTCAGAGAACCTTAGTGATTTTAGCTTGGACACGGACACAGTAGCTGCTCGCTCTCTACTGCCTCATCTGGACACTTTGTGTGTTGCGGATATTATTATAAAAAGGGAATATAGGGCACTTATTATGGACAATAATAGTGAATCCACTGTCTGTGGTGATGTGAAACTTGTGGGTATTGTCTATGTCAGGCGTGGGCAAACATTTGACTCGCGGGCCCCAATTGGCCTAAAATTGAACAGTGGGGGGGCGGGGTCAGGAGCAGATAGATGGAGAGTTCATGTGAACTAAGATAAATGACATGTAAAAGTCATGCATAAGAGGCTAAAATGCTAAAATGCTTTTATCATTTTCTACGCCAACTAGTGGGGAAACTGGGTATTGCAGGGAAAAGGAAGATAATGATAATATAAATGTAAATATAATTTATATTATCATTAAATAAATTATATCATTTGGAAAAGTTCGGCGGGCCGAATTAAAAAGCTGTGCCGCATCCGGCCCCCGCACCTTAGTTTGCCCATGCCTGGTCTATGTGATTTGATATATAGTTGAGTGAGTACACACCAGTGAAACACACATATTAAAAACCTAATTTTTCACTAGTAGTTGTGGATCCAACACTAAGTTAATACGTTGTTAGCTTTTTATTTTAACTTTTTTTTTTTTTTTTAAATTGTGACAAAGATGAGGAACAAGGCAGCAGTTGAACAGCAGCTCCTCCGATCCTTCGACCTCAAATCAGTTGTTTTCTCTGTCAACTCTGTGCAGGAGTCACCAATGTTTCATACCCCTTTGGAAAACATGTCTAACAGCAAAGATCCAGCAGTAACAATCCTTTTACTTGTGTTTGTGTTGGAGGCAGCATGATTAAAGAAGACAAAGTAAAAAAAAAAAAAAAAAAAAAAAAGGGTTTGAGGCTGAGATAAAGTCTTAAGTCTTTTACGTGTATCATCAAGTTCTGCAGCTCAACCTCACATCCAAAAAACAACTCAAAAAATAACAGTAATAAAAAAAAAAACCAAAACCTTCTTTGACTAAATTTGTCACGTTTCTCCTTTCGACCTATTTCCACTTCACTAATGCAGTAGGTTGTGTGCCAGTGCTGACTTTGTGGACAGCGTCGGTAGCAGCGGCGCCAGCAGCAGCAAGAGGAGGAGGAGGAGGAGGAAGGGGAAATAGAATGTCCCTCAGTCTGCCCTCTTTCCAGCTTTAGGTCATTTCATTTTTGAAATGAAATCCTAATCTCTTCATTCTAAAGTCAAGTAAGAAATCAACTGTTCAGTCTTAGAAGGGGAGTGAGGCTGTGGCTCCTTCAGAATGTATGTGTGTTTTTGTGTGTGTGTGTGTGTGTGTTTTTTTTTTGGTGAGCTTCACGTGTGTGATTAGGTTAGATCCACCAGTGTATGAGCGTCCTCTTGACCTCAGTGTCCTGTCGGCCTTAAAACAACACACTCTGTCTCCTGTTCTTCCCCTGGGCTGAGGAACAGAGAAAGAGACATAAACAGGGTTCCTTAAAACAGTTCAATGAGGACAAATACAAACGCACTACAACAAAAAAAAAAAAAACGCACAAAAAACACACGTCAGTTAAAAATGCACACTTAACGTCAACCATTTAGTTGAGTTTTTTGGGGTTTTTTTTCTGTTTATGATTTATGTTCTTAAATAACGTTTTGTTGCTTTTACTATACGGTATTTCTGGAATTGGGTTCCTCGGGCACGACGTAACTCGATTTTCTTCATACGTCAGAACTCGCATAGTGTACATAAGTCACTCACCTACGCTAACACAGCGGTAACATCATACCGTAAAACACTTTGAACCCTGCAGCGTAGACAATAATGCGGCTAATTTATGGATTTTTATAGGCTAGCGAAGTTCATACCGCTAGCGATCAATGACTTTTCTGGTAGGCTACTGTGTGTTATACTAGTAGCGTATGTCTGTCTGTGAATGGCTGTGAGCGTATATGTGCAAGGGGCGCGCATGAGAGAGAACGGTAGCTAAAGTTGAGAGCAGTTTGAGCTTAAGAGTTTGAGCTTTGAGTTTAAGTGTGAGTTGGTTATACAGGAGCTGTTAACACTCTGTTTATGTTCTGTTGTGGTCAGTGGGGCTGATAATAAAGACCCCAACTTCCCTGTTTCTGTTTACCTCTGCTGTGGACAAGCACAAAGTAAAGGGAGTTAGCCCCGGGAGCTAATGTTAGCTTCAGCCCTGGAGCAGATCACTAAGTCTCCCCTGTGCATTCCAACTACGGTCGGGGCTCCACAGCGGGACATAGTTAACGGGTAACCAGCCATGCTACAGTTGGCTTTCCTATTTATAGCTTTATTCAGTTGTGTTTATCTTTTTTTTTGTTAAATGTAATGATTTTCATTGGTTTCCTGCATGAACCTGAACACAAAATACTGTTAAAAAAGTTTGTCATCTGGATTCTGAACGGACTAATCAATTTTACATTGATTCCTTAGGGGAAAATTGTTTCAGTTTTTGGTATATCTACAGTATATACATATATGTGCAGTTACTTCTACAAGACCACTAGATGGCTCTGTTATTAAAATCCAATACAATACTTAAAGACAATACTTTCTGAGTCCGCTCCTTAAACCATCACGGCCTTCGTAACTATTTTCAGCAAACAAGGAAACAGAGACATAAAAAAGGCCAAAACTCTGTGAAACTCTTAACACACGAGCACACTCATATTATTATAAAGTACTGATTGTTGTATTTCCCTAGCTATGGTACCAATGCCCCAATGAGGACATACACTTCAAACACTGCACACCAAGCGGAACATCCAACCAAGTCAAAGCAAAACTTACAGCTACATCTCTCTCTGCAGAAACCGGAAGATGACTGAAAATATAGAGAACCAAGTGACCGTCACTCTCATATGATGTTGTACTCACATGAGTTATCACAATTGTGGATTATATATATACACTAAATACACACATTCTGCCTCAACGGAGAGGCGCGAGCCTGGGCCTGACGCTTAGACTTAGACTTAGGTTGCACTCACAGTAGGGCCAGTTGTTCCGTAACGTACTGAAGCATGAACGCCCGCCCCTCCGCTGGCATGCCGTCACCCCAAAGATAAGCGCGCATCAGCGCGGTTGCCTCCAACACGTACGTCAACTGACTGTTGCTCATACGCAGTTAAGAGTGAACCCACTCTTGGTGATTGCTAGTCAATCGCGCTGCACGATTACGAAGACATACTTATGGGCGTTTGCGCTCACGTGCGTGACCAAGTGAACCATGCCTCGGCCTCAATCCGGACTTTAGGTGGGCAGACGTTGTCGGGTGCAGTACACTGGCCCTCGTGCGAGTGCACCCTTAGATGCTGAGGCCCAAAACAGAAGTTGAGGCTAAGACACCTTAAGGCTAAAAGGACGGATAATGAAGTCCAGTCACTGAGGCGGAGGCTGATTCTACGACTGAGACTTAGATGATAAGACGGAGACAGGGACAGAGACTCAGTCGGGATGAAATGCTGAGGGTGAGACTGGAGCTAAGGCTGAGGCTAAAACTGAACCTGAGAGGCATCAGTGAGAACTGAGGCCTTTGCATATAAGACAGAGAGAGAGAGAGAGAGAGAGTGAAAGAACAGGGATGCAAGAGATGAAAAGAAAAGTTCAAGCATTTACCATAAGAGCTGATTCTGTCAGTAGAAGAAGAGGTCATACTGTGTCACTAATGCCTAGGATTGGTTGATTCTCTCTGGAAGAACTGAGAGGGAGCGGAGCCTAGTTTGTGGGATATGGCTTTATCGGGGATGAAGATGGTTTCGGGGGAAACAAAAAAAAGACGGAAGAAGGAAAAGGACGGTTAAAGACAAGAGAGAGAAAAGCGAGAGAATTATTATTAGAACAGAAAGCAGATGTGTATATAAAGACATGGACAATAAGAGGACCAATGGACAGCATAAGCATTTACAGCAACATCTTCCAGCGGGACGTTAAACCACTCTGAGTGTCCCAACACCAACGTCTACAGAGAAATGAGCAGTTTTAGTTGACACAGCTGTAACTCACAGGAGTCTGTGTGGACCGAGGATCTCTTCCCTGGATCCTTCTGCAGCTGGATTCCTTTAACTGAGAATATGGAGGCAGCTGGGGGAGAAAAAAAAAACACAAAGTGCAATTGTGGGTGTGATTTGAAGTGTATTTAAGTGTACGTGTGTGTATGTGTGTGTGCTTATACTCACTGTCCGACAAAGTCTGAAGCTGTTCCCCCAGAGTCCTGAAGTACGCGTGTTTCTGAGCTTCTTCGGCTGATATTCTCCTCTTTACCTCAAACTAATCACACACAAACACATACAAAAACATACAAAAATAAAACTTAAGGGACAGTTCAAATATTTCAAACACATCTGTTTGTGCCTGTAAATGTACAAACATCACAGCGTGTTACTGTACCTGTCAGCATCATAAGGCCCGGGGGCCCGATGTGGCCCGTTCAGCTTTTTAATCCGGCCCTCCAAACTTTTCCAAATAATGTAATTTATTTATATTATCAGTATACTTTCCCTGCAATACCCACATTTCCCCAATAGATGGGGTAGGGAAATCATAAAAGCATCTTAGCTTTTATGCTTGACCTTTCCATGTCATTTATCTTAGTTCAATTGTGACCCACGAATGACCCACGAATCAAATAGTTTGCCCACGTCTGACCTAGCTAACATACTTATTTTCTCGACTAAGATGCAGAAGTCGGTCAAATTCTGAAGGACTCCAGAGGGCAACAAGTACATTCTAATTACTGCATCTCCGAGGCTCACAGTAGTTGTTGGTTCACTGATGCATCCGGCATGTTCCAATATGTTCCTAGTAAGTTTCTAATATTTACCAGTCAGCAATAAATTGCCTTTTTTTAAAAAAAAAAAAAATAAGGCAAAAATAAAACTGACTTCCGAACATTTCCACAGTTCACCTTCAAACCAACAGGTGGGTTAATATTTACCTGTAGCAGACATGAAAGTAAATGAAGGCCGTCATTGTCCATTCTGTAACAGGGAAAACAGGAGATAAAACATTAACGCCAACCTCAAACAGAAAAGCAAATGTCTACTTTTTGAATATGACACACACACACACACACACATATATATATTTATATATAGACAAACCTGGGTGCATGATTGAGCAGAGATTCAGGTTTATACTGTGGGAAATTGTAGGTTTTAAACTCTTCAGTGGTTGTGATTCCCGGCCAGATTTCTTCTGTAGGAGTTCCTACAGTGACAGAAGGAATAAAACAAATACACCCAATTACATACATACTGAACATGTACAGGGTAGTAACCAAGAAAATGTTAAGATTGTTTACTCAGCTAGGACTGGGCAAATCAATGCACTATTATCGCTTTAACTTTATCACACACATTATTGCAGTTCTTTATCGCACTTTTTTTTTTTCATTATAATTTTTGAAAGTCCTTTCCACACTACCAGTGAATACTATTTCTGTCATGCCCCCACCCCACCCCTTGGGGACAGTTGAGAATCGGAAAACATGTATTTGGTGTATGTTGCTGCCACCTAGTGACTGGAGGCTTGTTATCATTCAAGCATTACAGCAGTGCTACAGCGTGCCATATTCCATTGGAAGCCCCCCCTGACGCCCCTGGCACCTCAGGGGGGGCCCGCCCCACTATTTGACAAGTAGACAAAAAAGGATGCAAGTCTTTTTTTTTTTTTTTTTTTTTTTTACCCAGGATGCGGAATATGAGGTGCAGCTCATCCTCTACGGTGGATCCAGGAAATAAGGGTCGACCTGTGATCATTTCATAAAAGATGCAGCCAACGCCCCTAAGCAGCCAGAACAAGAAAAAAAGATATTACAAATCACTACATTGTAGCTGCCCTACAATGTAGTGTAAATTATTATAATTATATAATAATTAAAACATTTGGGATTTAAACTGCAGCCTTATGATACCAAGCTTGTATAACTGTGTTGTAATGGATAAAACACCAGACAAACACCAGAGGTACTACATCACCGGTTCACACAAAAGCAGCCAAATGAATATAATACAATCATTACATATCAATTGTTTTATCAACAGTTTCTAGTTTGTTTTTTGGGTTTTGTTTTTTTTTTGTAGTTTGTGTAGATGCGCGTATGCTGACCACATGTCAATTGGAGTGGAGTATTCTGTGGAACCTAGAAGAACATCTGGGGGTCGGTACCATAACGTCACCACTTCATTAGAGTACGTTTTTGTGGGAACAGACTTTGCTCGAGCCAGACCTGAAACAAATCAGAAAAATTGTCCTTAAAAGAACAGTAATAACCAAGAGCAGTACCAGGAACAACACTAAGCCGACCAGGTCATATGTGTTTCCACCACAACATATACTATAGTTTCCTAACATAGAAACTACGTTAGCATCATTTCCAAACTATTGAGCGTACCTGAATATAAGTCGCACCCAGTAAATTTAAAAAGTAAAATAGTAAATAGTTGCACATATATAGGCTGCACTTCTCTATAAGCCGCAGGTGTCCACATTTACACAGTAAATTTTAATTAAATAAATGCTTTTTTTTCCAAACAGTGACTGTAGCATGGCTGGTTACATGTTAGCTCTTTCCTGCTTCAGCGCCCCAACCGTAGTTGGAATGCACAGGGGAGACTTAGTGATCTACTCCAAAGCTGAAGCTAACATTAGCTCTGGGGCTAACTCCCTTCACTTTGTGCTTGTCCGCAGCAGAGGTAAACAGAAACAGGGAAGTTGGGGTCTTTATTATCAGCCTCAGAGTTTTAACAGCTCCTGTATAACCAACTCACAACATGACAGGGCGACAACTGCTCTGAACCTTTGCTACGTTCTCTCTCTCTCTCTCTCTTGCTCTGAACCTTCGCTACGTTCTTTCTCTCGCACGCCCCCCATGCGCATATACGCTCACAGCCATTCACAGACCGATATACGCTACTAGTATAACACAAGGTAGCCTACCAGAAAAGTGATTGACCGCTAGCGATATGAACTTCACTAGCCTGTAAAAAATCCATAAATTAGCCGCATCACTGCCGGGTTCAAAGTGTATGAAAAACGTAGCAGCTTAGTCCTGAAATTACATTCATTTACACTGCAGGAGCATGTTGCAAACAAAGTACCAGGAACTCTTTGCAATATCACTGCAGTACAATAAATGTTAATAGAAATTCTAATATAAAACCAACAAAGACTGTAACAATTCAAAACTATGAGTTGTTGATCGTTTTACCAAAATCAGCCAGTTTAAGTTCTCCTTTCTCGTTGATGAGAAGGTTCTGAGGTTTAAGGTCTCGGTGCAGGACTTTCCTTTTGTGACAGTAGGCCAGACCTCGCAGCAGCTGAAACAGGAAGATCTGCAAAGACCAGCAGCATAGAAGAACTGATTAGATTGGTGCAGTTTAGGAGTATTTATACAATTAAACTTTATCCAACATGATATGTTAATTGTAGGGATGTTCGATATTAACTTTTTGCCGATACCGATATGCCGACATTGTCCAGAAACTTACGATTCCGATATCAACCGATACCGATATATACAGCCAGTTGCCCCCAAAACTGAGGTAAACATCTCAGGACCCTACGTACGATTCCAGCAAATTTGGCAACCCATGCATTGTGTTATCGGATTTTCATTATCGGAGGAAAAACCGATAACGGTCTTACAGAAATTACATAATAATGCTAATATTGAGCCAATAATATCGGCTGACGGATATTATCAGACAGTTAATAAAATTAAAAAATGCACAGGTAAAAAAAAAAAAAAAAAAAAGGTTACATTCAGACTTAAATTCTCACAATACACCACTGAAGGTGACTCACTTTTACATTGTAAACACTCATGATACTCCCACAGTCGTCCATGTACTGTTTCAGGTCTTTCTCCTGAAGGAGACGGAAGACGGAGTCAAAGAGAAGACAAAGAAAAATGTAAACAAACAAATAAAAACTTTATTATTTTATATATATTTCAAACCCAGAAAGTTAAGATGCAGACGAACCAGATATTCAAAGACTAGTGTCAGGCACTTGTCAGTGTGGATGATGTCATGCAGTGTTACGATGTTCGCGTGTTTCAAGTCTTTTAGGAGAGAAACTGAAAGGGGGGAAAAAAAAGACATGTCGACTTGACTATATTCAAGTTTTGCAATGTCTTCTTTTATTTTTTTTTTTTTTAAACTCGATGATTTACCCTTCCTCTAACCCCATATGTCAGTCTGACTGCACACTTGTTTTTATACAATGCTGATTTTGTTGCTTGCTGGACACACCAAAGCCAGTCAGGCAGATGGGATTCAAACCTGTGATCCTCCAATAGAGGGACAGGAGAATGATTCTTCTGGCATAACTGCCATGCGGTTATTGCCTTTCCAGTGCTACTGTAACAAACAAATAACTTGTTTGGAATTGTCTCCTGTTTACTTATGGATTTCCTGCAGCTGTATCTCACTATGGGCCACATGTCAGCCAATGTGAGAAAAAGGTGGGGTATAATAATGTGCCCTAAATTATGACAAACACTGTTTAAACTCATATTTACACCTACAGTACCTTTGTCATCCAAATGGACTGCACATTTAAAGCCTAAAGTTGACAATATATATTTAATAGTAGTAATTAATTTCTATCTATCTATCTATCTATCAATCTATCTATCCATCTACCCATCCATCTATACATCCATCTATACATCCATCTACCCATCCATCTATACATCCATCTATACATCCATCTAT